TCTTTCCCCAACCCTCTTTTCCTGCTTCTCAACTCAGAGTTTCTAATCCTTATCTTTATTTCTTTTCCATTTATGTGGGCTCCTACTCTGATCCTTTCTATGGCATGACCTCTCAGCATCCAGATAGCTCCCACCAGACCATGCATCCACTGAAGCTGAGCACCTTTCTTCATTCTTTTCAGCATCATCCTCTGCTTTTTCCTGCTCTTCTTGCTAGTGGTTACTGAGTTCTTCCATATGTACATTTATTACATCCTGAATCACCTTAGTATATGATTTCTGAATTATATGAACATTCTTGGCTCTGTAGGACTTGTGTCTTCTTTTGCAATCTCTAACATCTGCCAGGATTTCAAAGTAAGATTTTGGACTTTTTCAGCTATTATTTTGATTGACTTTGGCAGCCAAGTCTACAAAGAGATCGCTATCATTTTTAATGATTTGAGAATCAGAGTGCTTTTTCTTTGTTTCCTCGACAACAAAAATCACAAAGAGCAAGATGATCTGCTGGGATCAGATCACAAATAAACCATTTATGATTCAGTGGAACTTCAACAGGCAATGAAGAATACACTCCTCAATTATTTGATTGTAACAATCACCATCATTTCCAATTATGGTTCTAGCTTGATTAATGACCTGGAATTGTGACTCCTTATTTAAAGTAATTGTAGGTACCTTTGCATTCTCATAGAAAAAAAAATCAGGATTATTTCTCTTCATGTTCAGTATAGCCTATTTTCCTCAACCTATAGGACACCATGTGCTTTGAGAAAGATAATTTGGGCATGTGATGATAAGAATCACAGGGTCATATCACAACTTCACCCTTCATTGTCTCCTCTTCCCTGAGGTCCAGCTGATCCAGAATCCAGCCCAGGAACACTGTCACATCTCCCAACGTCCAGTAGCAGCTCTCCATGAACTTGCTCATCCCTTCTGCAGCTGGTGTCACTCCTCCACCAGAGGCAGCTTGTTCTCCTTACTGCTGCCTACTTGTGGGCGGAAGTAGTAATTTCTTAGGCCCAGGGATTTAGCTCAGTGGCACTGTGCCTGCCTCACAAGTGCAAGGTCCTGAGTTCAATCCCCAGTACCAAAAATATGAATAAAGCTACCTGCCATATCAACTGAGAAATTAAACTAAAAAAGAATGAAAAGTCACTTAAAGATACTTCAGCAAGATACAACCCCAGACTTCCAGCTCGCCAAAGGCAAACCCAGGGGGCAATGAGGTGGAACAATCTGAAAGCCACCTACCTGGACTCTCTGAAATGGTAACAGTAGAATTAACAAAATGGATGAGGCTCTAGAAAAACGCCACCACACCTGGCCACAAGAAAGAATATTAAAAGCTGTTAGAGAAAAGAAAAAAATCACCTATGAAGGAAAGTCCATCAGAATCATGCCAGACTTCTCAACACAAACTTTCAATTCAAGGAGAGCTTGAAATGTTTCAAGCCATAAAGGAAAACAACCTCCATCCCAGACTGATGTACCCCACAAAACTATCTTTCAAAATTGATGGAGAAATAAGGTATTTCCATGTCTTCTTTCAGTACTAGAGATTGGACTCCAGGTGCTTGTACTAAGCTGAGCTATCTACCTAGCCCTTTTTATTTTTAAAAATAATTACCTTTGATGAAAAGGAACTATCATATATATGTATAATTTTTTGGCAGTACTATTGCTGATCAGCCTAACGTTCTATTGCCAAGTGCAGCTCTGCTAGAAGTCTTGATGCCACCAGGTGATGCTGGATGTCAGAAGTTCACATAGCCAGCTGCTGGCCACTATTGCTGCTGGCTGTCACCACCCAATGCCAGCTTGTGCAGGACAACATGAGTTGACTCTGCCAGAGGTAGACTCTACAACTCTATCAGGTGCTGGTCTTCATTGGCTGCTGGTCTCTGGAGCTCTTCTGTGTTAATGGCTTTGAGTGTTTACTGATCTTTTTTTGTCTTTCTTCATAAAAGACTGCTCTGTCCACACTATTCAGGATAAAAATCCCAAGCAGACTTACAGGACCTTCGGCCCCGCACTACCTGACAAATAGTCACAAGCATTAACTGGGTGTGGTGGCTCATGCCTGTAATCCCAGCATTTGGGAGACTGAGCCAGAAGGATATCTGAGGCCTCCTTGTATTACACAATGAGTTCAAGGCCGGTCTGAACTACAGAGTGAGACCCTATCTCAAAATAAATTCACAAGCAGGTTTACTGAAGCATTAGAGAGAGTCCTAATTCCAACAGACCCCATAATGCAGCACAGGGTTGTGAGTACACAGGAGGTAGCCCTCCTAAAGTAAAACCTGAGGAATGGTTGTGCTGCTTTTCAAAAGAACTCACAGGTTGGTTCCAGTGAGGGGCAGGTCTGCCAGTATGCACACTGGGTATGCAAATAAGAGGCCCAGACCCCTCTATACCTGATCTTAGCCACTCTAGAGAGTTCCATCTCATCCTCGAAAAAGGCAAAGGTACTGTCTGAAGCAGCAGGAGTGGGGAAAGCAAGAGAAGAACAGATTTGACAGCCAGGGAGGGCACTGAGGCCAACTGTCCCAGTCTATGGGGGAGGATAAGATAGCTACTGGCCAAGCTACACCCCTCCCTCCTGCAAGTACAGGAAAAATCAAAGTCCAGCATTTCTCATCTGTCTCAGTACTAGAGATTGAACCTAAGGCCTTCACACTGAGCTACAACCCCAGCCAGACCTTGGTTTTTTGTTTTTTGTTTTTTTTTTGAGACAGGGTCTCACTATGTAGTTGAGACTGACCTGGAACTCACTATGTAGTCCAGGATGGTCTCTAACTCACAGCGATCCTCCTGCCTCAGCCTCCTGAGTACTGGGGTTACAGGCATGTACCACCATGCCCGGCTAGCTTTGTGTGTGTGTGTGTTTTTTTTTTTTTTTTTTTGAGACCTTACTGTTTGAGACTGGTTATCCCTAAGTTGCTAAAAGTGTCCAGGCTGGACTTGAACTTGCAAATTTGTGATATTCCTGCCTCAACCTCCCAGAGTTCTGGATTAAAGGCTTGCATTGCCATGGCTGGTTTAATACTATGATTTTTTTTTTAAATATACTGAGGATTGAACTCAGGACCTTGTGAGGCAGGTGGCAGAACCACTGAGCTAAATCTCCAGCTCAATACTGTGATTTTTAAAAATTCTAGCTTTTCTTCTACACTTACCTGCTAGAATTCTTCTGTAATAATGAGATTTTTCATGTCAACTAATTATTTGTTTATAATTAGCTAGTTAGAAATATATCAGATTATTGGAATTATTTATCTTATAGACTGAGAGTCCCAGGGAGGCTCAGCCTATGTTTGATTCATTTTTCTTTGTCTTCCTATTCCTAATGTCTAGTCATGGTATCACAGATGCACTTTATAAGCTGAACAAATATGAATTTACTGAGCCAACTTAAAAACCTAGTGATTCTCTCCGATGGGATCTTCTGGATCAGGAAATCAGTGGTTCAACTGAGAGCCTTGGCAGTATCTTGTAAATTAAGTCCACTGTGCAAAGAAACAAAAATAAAACGCTCACTGCCACAAAGACTTCAATTGTTTATCTGGAATTCAAAGTGAGAAAAATATTTTACTCTCAATCAGCTTTTCCTAGTGGGTGACTTATCTTCATCCACCATTCCTCATCTGGACCACTGAGTTTACCACGCCCTTCTTTGACACTGTCAATTAACAAAAAAAAGCACTAGAATTTGGGAACAAATACACTTTAGTTTGTTAAATTTTCTTATTTTTTTGTCATTGAGTTTATCGGTACATTTTAGGTATACAGTACAGTTTCATTCTTCATTGGGATCTTGTACCTTTACATGACAGGTCTTCGTTCTCATTTTTTCCCCTTACCCCTGTCCTCCCTTCATCCCCTCCTTTATTTCCATTTTTTCATTTTCTAATATTTTTTCTTTTCCCTTAGCTCCTTTCCCCTACCCTTCCCACTTCCCCTACACCTTTAGCCCTTTTCTTCCTATTACACGTTAATTATACCATTAAGATCTTATTTACAATTAGTTTTTCACATGAGAGAAACTATTTGATATTTACACGTGTGACTTATTTCACTTAAGAGTATGACCTCAACATGCATCCATTTTCCTATGAGTAACTCTAATTTCTCATTATTTATGGCTGAGCAGTATTCATTTTTTTCTCTCATTGAGTTTATTGGCATAGTATTTATTCCATTTTACAGAAAAAACACATCTTTATCCAGTCTCCAACTGATGGACAAATGGGCTGTTTCCAAGTTTTAGCTATTACAAACTGTGCCTCTATAAAAATGTTGTGCAACTATCACTGTGATATGATTCTTTTAATTCTTTTGGAAGATACCCAGCTGAGGGATGGCTGGGTCAAATGGTCCCAGCTCTTTGAGGTATCTCCATATTGATTTTCGTAGTGGTTGCACCAGTCTGCACTCCCACCAACAATGGAGAAGGGTTCCTTTCTCCCCACAACCCCGCCAACATTTGTTATTGGTTGATTTCTTGATAAAAGCCATTCCTTGTGGGGTGAGGTGGAATCTCAGTGTTGTTTTCATCTGCATCTCTCGAATGACCAGTGATGTGGAGCATTTTTTCATATAAATTTTCTTATTTTTAAACAATCTAAAAATTAAGAACCCTATGGTTATATCTCATAGCGCCTCCACTGGCCTTTCCGAGGCACAGGCACACTTTTCCTAGCCGCCTCCCCAACCTAACTCTAGCGCGCCAGTCCCTTACCTATTCCGCCTCAGCAACCCTTTCCGGCCCTCCCCTAGGTCGAGTTCTTCCGCTCCCTTGCCCCACGGCCCGCCCATCCGCTTCCTGTAGGTTCGGCAGGCTTCTGGAGAGCTCCTCCTTAAATGATTGGTTTCTGCACTTGTCACTCCAGTTCCCCGAGTCCACCATTGGCTGGTTTCCCTCAGAGAGCGTCGCGCCGCCAAAGTGTGAGCTAGCGGGTGTTTGTCGCAGACTGTTGTTCTCGACAGTTTACGGAGGTTCTACGATGGCGACGGTGGCTGCGGAAGGGTCAGCTGTGGCTGTGGTGACTGAGTCGGGTGCCGACAGCAAAGGCGAGTCACATGAAGTCGAAGGAGTTGGAGCGGCGGGTGAAGAGAAGGACCCGGCCGCCAAAGCAGCGGAGGCCGCGGGGGACAGTGAGGAGGACGGGGAGGACGTGTTCGAGGTGGAGCGGATCCTGGACATGAAGATCGACGCGGTG